TATGAAAAAGGCTATCCAAAGACCATAATTGAAATGGTTCATAAGATGATATACTGCTTTTAGTTCCTAAGTTTGTCTAACCATTTGTGTTTTATATGTCAATTTATAAGAAAGTAGGCATTTATGGCAACAAGCATAATTTATGGCATGGGATCTGGTTAATTTGTTTACTTACTGTATTATCTAGCTGTTTATTTAGGTTTTCACTTTAAATTACAATGGATATTTAGAGACTTTTGCTTAACAGGTTTTCTACTGTATTGTCTTTTTTCTTTGTCAGATCAATCAATTTATTGATTTATTAATCATGAGAAGATGCATAAAATTAAAAGAGATTGCAATATGCATAGGAAACTAGAGCCAAAATATCACACAGATTTTGCTGGAATATGCAGTTTCTAGCTTATAAGCTCTGCTACTGACCTAGTTTTCCCAACTATTTACAACATGTCATTACATTTACATATTACAGGAAATATAACATATTTATATTTTATAGGAAACTATCAAACTGGCCCCTAACCCAATGGTTCTCAGTTTTTCATCTTGTGGCCTTTAGACTAAACTACTCATCATGTAAGCCATCTCCTCCCACCTCATTCTAGTCCCCAAATTACCCTGCTGAAACTGCAGAGGTAGTTTAGGTGCATATGACATAGCAGAACATTAAGGATATTGACGATTAAAGAGTCACGCTGATATGATGCTTATGTCCCTATGTTACATCTGTGCTGTTTAAGGTCTGATACCAGTATTCCAGCAGTAGATCTCACCTTCCGTGCAGCTGCTGCTGCTCAAGTGTCTCCAGTCACCCTGTGGTTTGTTTCTATTTTCTGGCACATTTGCTACCATCTGAAAATGTGCTGCTGACTTTAAGGAAAGAAATACTAACATCGACAGGCATTAAGTAGCCACATAGAGTGCTAAGAATTGTTTAGTTTGTTAGTTTAAAATATTTTCGGAATCATAGGAGTTTTCTTGAGTGGGCTATCACTGTCCAGAAGCATCATTGCTTCATGACTATGAGAGTTTCACCTTTCTCATTTGTATTGCTTCAGTACACAGAGGGTACATCTGCACTTCACAATGCATTACCACTGTGTAGACTTATCCAGTCAGGACTAAGATGCCACCAAACCATGGCAGAAGTGATGAGACCTACTCAGCTGCATACACCTGAAGCTGGAGCTCCCTTTTCCCAGAGTAAATAAACAACATGCATAGGATGCACTTTAATGAGTTTTAAATCACCATTCCACTTTATCTGATCCAATTAGTATCTTCATCACATTACTTTCAGGTAATTTCCTGTTGATCATTGAAAGCAGCTATGTTTAATGGTCTGGAACAGAAATAGGTCAATAAAATGTTTGTTGTATGTATGTTAACAGTGTACCTACTACGTGTATAAACTTGATTAAAAAATCTAACAAGAAAAGGCAAACTCCATTCCTACCAGCAAACCAGTCAGCTATTATACTATATCAAGGAAACAATAACGTGATGCTTAACAACCACAACAACCATTGCTATATACAACCTGAAAAAAAAAAAAATCTTTATAATATGTTAAATAAATAGGAAAATCAGTCTTAACAACTTGACTATCTACTTCTCCCACAAATATCTTTATTCACTTTCCCATGCTGTCTTTTGTCTATATAATGCCCTCTCTATAACAAACAGTAAAACTATCACCTTGTCTTCCATGCATTTCCAAATTTGATAAAAATGCCTATCTCTTCGGTCTTTATTTTGCTAATAGCCTTATACAGTAAATTCTTTCTGGCTATGGACTATATTTACCTGTCTTTGCATGGTTTCTGCAACAGTTTGGCCCCTAACTGATGTTTTTATGCCTTGTTCATTTGCCTTTTGTTTCTAGGAGTATCCAAGATGGACTAATGATGATTATTTAAATAGAATCATAACATGCCAATTGAAAAAATATATTTATGGTAAACTTTCTGGGTTGAAAATACAAGAGGTATAAAAATTAATGAATACTTTGTGAGGACATATACTGAGCTTTTGACATTCATTCTGTTTTACACTATATGGACTAAAACTTTACAGACACCTTCTTTTTTAATAGGTTTATGGCTTTACCTGACTCTTCTACTGTACATTGTGGTGCTGTTACATTAACGATGGCATTATCAGAATGGAAGCAGGCTTTAAAATGAGTATTATGAAGATATGGGGTGACTAGAAGGGTACCTGTGTAAATGGTCACAGGGATACACATCCAGCCACAGGCCTACCCTCTTATTTTGAGAACCGGTCACGTACTCATATGTTGTGATCCTAGAGCACATCAATGCTTTTCTTATTCAGAGAAAGACCAATACTATCCTAATTGCCAGCTTAAATGAATCCAAATACTCATGAGATTTTTCTTTGTACTGTTAGGTGGCTTTCTGTGATGAGGCCTAGAATAGTAGCTGTCCTTTGTTATTAAGATTGACTGTTATTTACAGGTTTTACTACATTTTAGATTTATTAATTGGAAGTAAAAAAGTGCTAACTACTGTTAGATTAAAGGGCACACGGAGCTTAGCTTTGTTTGCAAAAATGAAAGAACAGGAAATATGTGTATCACTGCTCATAAGAAGTACCTCCTTTTCTCTTCTGTTTCTGACTTTTTATATTATAGACTCTTCAACCCTAATCCACTATATCCAGCTATTTATGTATTGAAAAAAGCCTAGCAAAGCAAGGCCTCTTTTAGTAGCCTAAACCTTGAATAGGGCATTTGGATGGTACCACCAGGTTTATAACATCCCTGGAACATGAAAGACAACGAAGGACCATACTATGTTTGTACATCCTCCCTAAACATGAGGACCCCTAAATTAGTATTCCAGAAATATTGTAATATAGCAGAGTTATACTATGATGTTTTGCTATTTCTGGTTCTGTGACTAATTCTACGTGACTCCATACAGGTAAGAGTGTGAGAAATACAGTATATTTTAATGTTAGTGAAAATAAAGATGTCCAAAGTTGTGCAATGTTTCATCTTTTGTTGTGTCTTTATTCCCTAAATACAGTGGATTCCAATCAAAGCCTGTAAATCCCCCTCTACATTTTATGTGTTCCCATTAGTAGATAATTAAGTAGATTGGAATGAACAATTGAGATCTGAATAAATTTGTGAGGAACAAGAATGTGCGAGGAGGGGGAGTCTGACAAAAAACAGATGCCTCAGAACAGGAGTACTTTGAGAATTACAAAGGGACAGGATGAATTGATAATTGAATAAACTTGGAGTTTATGGGGTGAAATCTTTAGTAAACTTGACAAAATTACAAGTCAGGTGATCCTCAATCTTTTACAAAGTTAACCTAAATTTGCAGGAAAAGTGTGTGGGGGGGAGGGCAACGACGGTAGGGGACAGACAGGGCCAGATTTCTCATCAAATTTGTTTCCTCCTTTTTATTAATGTCTCTTTGTTGAGACCACTCCCATTACCTAATGGGATATAGTCCACTTTGTATTAATAAATAAATATTAATTGGGGGACAGACCAGAAACCAGATGTCCCATCTCCTGGGTGTATATCTTAATCACCAGGCTAGAGCCATGCTCATTTATGTGTTGCATGAATATTTAAGAATTAGTATTACACGAGTTAAGTACAGAAATCTTGGTTAAATCCCTACCCAGACTAGAGCACAGTAGATCTGAGGCTATGTTTCTTATATCTTAAGCAAATGTCTTAAGGGCCACAGCAGAAAGTATCCCAAAGGCGAGCTTCTTCAACCTGTCCTGGTAAAGCTGTAGCATTTTGTGTAACATACTTTAACATTTATTGAGACAGAGGGAGGGAGCATGACTTGGTGGTTAGCATGCTTCTGTGGGAGTTAGCACACCTGGGTCTCTGCCATAGCGAAAATCTAATTATTGATACGAAGCAGTTCAAGTTGTCAATAGGAAGAAAAGCCTGCCCTCAGGATAACCTATAGTCTGGGGATCAGGGGACTTGCCTTGATAGGAAGAAAAATGGGTTAAAATTCTCTGTCCTAGAAAAGAATTGAAATAAGGTCTCCTACATTTTGAGTAAGTACTCTAACCCCTAAGCCAGGGTTGCCCAACTCCCACGGGCCTGGGGGACACCACATGGACTGCACAAGCCAGATAGGCCCCTGTGCTGCCCCCTGCCCTGAGGGGTGGTGGTAGGAAGCAGAATACTGAGAAGGGAGCAGGAGCCAGGAGATAACCATCCGGCAGCAGGAGCAATGCAGGGAGCAGTGCCCGGCTGAGAGCCCATCAAACAGCCCTGTCCAAAGGTACAGGGTAAACAAGGGCCTCCTTCCTGGACAGTTTGATGAATCTAGCCCTTCATTTCCTTTATTTTGTTTTTTTAAAGAAGGGCTTGAAACCAAGCACTCTGTTTCAGGTTTACCAAAAGGTTTTTGTGTCAAATTTACAGAAGAACATGGC